AACCCAGCAAAAGCACATTATACAGCACAATGCAGAATACCGCCAGCTATAGAGGCATACAACAAATCCCAGCAATACTACATTATAGCTGGCGGCATTCTGCATTGCGTTGTATAAGGTACTATTGCTGGGATTTGTAGTCCTCTATAGCTGGTGGTATTTAGCATTGTACCACTTTATAATGCATTATTGCTGGGATTTGTTGTAATCTTCTACAGCTGGTGGTATTCTGCATTGCGCTGTATAATGTATTATTGCTGGGACTTGTAGTCCTCTATACAGCGCAATGCAGAATATCACCAGCTATAGAGGAGTACAACAAATCCCAGCAATACATTATACATACAGCGTACGATGTATTGCTGGGATTTGTATTCCTATGTATAATATACAGCACAATGTACCATCAGCTATAGAGGAATACAAATCCCATCAATACATTATAGAGCACCATGTGTGGGAAAGTGCAGTCTTCCAGCAACGTGCTTCTGAGATCGGACCTGTCTATCAGCAGCTGTCATCCCCCCACACCTGCTCCTCCTTACTACATCTCCCCGCGTCCCTGTGCCGATCGTGGATGTGGATGGGCAGGAAATGTGAGGCGGGGAGGAGGTGCGGCGTGTGGAGCGTGGATGCGAGCGGGTCTGGCAGCGGCGAGCGTGAGGTGGGGAGGAGGTGCGGCGCACAGCGTGTGGAGCTGTGAACAGGGCCAACTGATCGGAAGCCGATTAATCGATTATTGAAAAAGTTGACAACTTTTTCAATAATCGATTATGTCGATTAGTTGTTGCAGCCCTAATGTGTGGGATTAGCTTTTATTCTTTATGTTGCTTATTGTATACTTTTTTTTTTTTTTTACATATTAATTTGTGAAACTGCTGGGTGTCACTAGTCATTGTTTAAGAGGCCTGTTTGTTATTCGGAATATGAAATGTGTTTTTGTCTAGACTGGTCCAAAATGCTAGGACTCTGTAAATATTCTAGTTGGCATCTGCCATCCCCAGCTTAAATGATTTAATATTTAGGGTACCGGGATCTCTCATGGAAGTTTGTCATGAACTATAGGGGTTGTGAGTACATTGTTTTAGGTTGTGTAGCATTGTAAGTCAGAACTGTAGCCTCACCATCTATACATGTATTTTATTGCAAAATGTGCTTTGATGCATACTTGCAAAAGTGTCCTCCCAGTGGCTTCATGAATGTGTATCCCAAGTATTGCGTGCAGGAGCAGGACCCTGGAATCTATCCAGTGGCTTCATGAATGTGTATCCCAAGTATTGCGTGCAGGAGCAGGACCCTGGAATCTATACGACCGCTGCCTAACTCAAAGGTCATGTGCTTTTCTCTGCATCCCTCTGTGTACCTCAAGACATTTGACTCTCTGCAAAAGGGGCAGTGTATGGTGCTGCATAGATTGATGGCTTTTCCCAGTTCCATCTTGCATCCTTACTTTTTTGTGATGTCCCTCCCTCTGCACTGGAAGCGTGAGGCAAGATGGTGGGTGCCAGTTTAAGAATTTGGTACAACCTTTAAATGGTAGTAAGTGTCAGAAATGCTTATAATAATTAGTGTTATGCTATTTGTAACAAAGTGTTAGTACTTCTTTATTCCTAAAGAGCGTACTGCCTCTCAAAAAAGGGAATTTCATAGCTAAAATAATGATACCCAACAGGCACGGAGTGGGCTACAGGTGACCCCAAAAACACCAAATATGGACTTTCACATTATGTTGCATCTGCCCTGTTCACAGATGTTAGCAACCTGCCTATGCCAGTGTAAAGACTTGCCTTCTGTGATGCCTCCTGAGGTATACATCTCCCTTCCGCTCTATTCAGGTCAGCGCTGGCACCACTATCCGCTACTTTATTGTCTGCGTCTGTGGCCCACAGAGTTACCCTTGCGTGCACACACGTGGCATGTGTACACTGCCTCACATTGCCAAGAGCAGCAAAGCACTTCTCCTCTGTCCTCCATTATTCATGCTCCTCTGCCCTTACTGTGTCAGTACGCACAGGGAAATGGCGCTCTGAGCGAGCAGCGGCAAATGTGTGGTTAGCCACACTGGGGCATTTACATGTATTGGGGCATGTAGCACTGATTGCTAGCTAAGTTAAGTTACAAAATGCTGAGCGTTAAGTACCACTTTAACTACTCCCCCACAACTTATCCAGCAATGGGAGAATGTGTTCCAGAAAGAGTTGGCTATAGGGGTGAGTGTCTGAGGGGTTATAAAGTAGGTATGGTTTTGAGACTGTAAAGTGTATGGACATGGTGACGATTCCTGGTCAGGTAGAGATATTAACTGAGCAAAACAGGGTTAATTTGTGCTAGAAATGCCACATTGTGGTTCTATTGTATAGCAATGCACCTAAACCTCAATTATAAAGATTTTAGCACTAAAGGGCCCAGTTATACCTCGGCCATACTGCTGCTGTAAAAATGTGTTATTCAAAGTGAGGCAAACCCCTATTTATTTCAGTGAATAGGGGAAAGCGGAGAGGAGATGAGCCGGGTCTCATGACCCGTGAAAGCCGACTGATCATCCTCCACACAAACCACAAAGTGCTCTCTGCAGCATTATGCTGAGAACAGTCAGTGGAATACAGTAGGTATTTCTCAGTTCCTCATTCTCTAGGATGTCCCAGCATCACTCAGCCCTCCAACAGCTAAGTGGCTGCCGTGGAGACACTCGTGCATGTGCATTCCCGGCTGTGCCCGCAGTGTCTGTGTGCGTCCATAGACTCGCACAGCCCCGCAGCAGGCCACGCCCTCCTCTCTGCCCAACAGTTTGACTCATGGCAGAAGGAGCCTATAGCTTGTTTGCCCTCAGTATCTTCCCCTGCAACTGGGAACTTCTGTAAGGGAGGATCGCTTCAGGGACCAGCGGCAGTAACAAGAGGAGCTCAGAGGTAAGTGTGTGTGTGTGGGGGGTGCGGGGGGGGGGGGCGCAGAGAGTGTCAAACAGGGCAAAGAATGGATTAAGTTAAAAAAAAAACCCACCCCGGCCTTTAGTAATACTGTTACTTTTCTAGATTCTTTGTGAACTAAAGTGTTTAGATACTCCGACTTCAGTTCTGCAGATACAAAGACATAAACACTGGTTACTTCATAGAAAACCTAGTGGATTTCTGGAATTTAACTCTGGATCAAGTGACTGTTGACTCTGAGATGAGTGGCTGTCCATTTTATTAGTCATCGGCCATGCATGCAGTATCCTAAAACACTAACATTTTATCTGTGAAACAAAAATGCACACCCCCGTCCCTGTCCCACAGTGCCATGTGCTGTGCCTTAGTGACAAGTTGTCAGGCCTGACTGCTGTCATGTTGTGGAGGGGGCATGCGTAGGAATATATATTTGGAAAAGGTGGTATTTGTACAACATCCTTAGTAGAGGGATCTGCTGCAGGTATGAACTGCTGGAAAATAATAGCAGCAGCTCTCACAGCCTGTTGTCACGGGTAAATCTTGGGCCGTCCTGACATTCAAAGCCTAGACGGTTTGGTTACTGTCGGGGTGTGCTGCTTAGCCCAACCCTTAAACATTCCTGTAGGCCACGGTAAGAATTGGGTGGACAAGCTTCAGCGCTACCAAAAAGTGCCCAAGCTTTGCTTTTGCCTCTCAGAATGGCCCAAATTGCTATCTAACGTTCAGTTTCTTCTTTTTGCCTTTTGCAGTAACTTTGAATTTGTATTTAACCAAATGCATCTCTTATGGTGCTCCTATGTGTTTCAGTCTGATCATTTCAGTATTCCATTGCATCTATGGAAAAACCCTCAGTTTGAAATTGAGCAAACAATGTCCACACCATTTCCATTTCATTGTGTTGTATTGCGTGGGATATATTATGGTATATCGGACAATCTTTAAGAAAATGTTATCACATGCAGGAAAAAATGTAAATCAACTGAAAAGGTATTAAGAAAAGAATAAATCTAGGATTGTAATCTTTGTATTCGATCGGTAGGTTGGTTGGATTAAGACAAGTTGTGCATGGCAAATCCAAAGGGAAATGATTCCAAAATATAAATCCAAAATCATACAGTATAGATAAAATTATGCATTGTAGGTGTGTGGTCAGCTTTATATTTATACTGGGGGTATATTTATAAAGCAGTGAATGCTAGGTAAATGTCACATTCACTGCTTTATAAATATTCATGGAAAAGGTTACTCTATTAACTCTTTTGTGCCCAGAGGTCATTGATGCCTAGATGCCATGACCAAATTCAGTAAATATTATTGGGTTGGGTTATTGTAATCTGATAATAGCTGCATTCATCCAGTGGCACTGCAGTTGCACACTATAGCCTGAATGTGGCAGTGTTCATCTGCAGGCTGAAGGCTTTCATTTTTTTTATTTTTCTGGTGAAGCCTCCAGCCTGCCTGTGATCACTGTCAGAGCTGACATACTAATCGCATTAGGAACCACTCCCAATCGTCTTTGGAGACCCAAGCTGTCAGTGACGGGCAGGATTGAGAGCTAGCAGCCACTTTAACTGTTGGATGCTGGCTATCAAATTGGAGAAGATTTATAAACTTCTCCCTAGCATGGGACATCAAACTGGAGAACATTTTTATATACAAATTGCTGGTGGGGAGAGATTAAATATTCGAGTTGGTAAGTAAGAGTCATCACTGTATCTCTATTTCCTAGCTAATATATGACTGTAGAACTAATCCTATAATTATTTACTTTCAAATATATTAAAATGCTTTCAAAAATCAAGTCCACCTAGAACTGTTTTTCAGGTTTACTGGCAGGTTGATGAACATGGCTTCACCTCCCTTCTCTTATCTCAGACTACAGAGGCAAGTAGACATGACACACTTTCACAAGAACAAGGAAAGTACCTCTCAATTGAATACTTGCCACTGGAGTGTGAAATAAGAGGCTGTGATTTGATCCACCTGTATCTGGTCAAAAGTTAGTTTTGGCTAGAAGTACTACTTTAAAGTTTGTGACTAATATCCTCTACATCAAGTAGTATCTGTTTTAATATGCTCTTACATTTTTATTTAGCAGAAGAACGCTCCTGGGGAATTATTAGTCACTGTCCTAGGATTGAACTTGAAGATGGAGTTCGACTTGGTTGCCATCACCATTCAAGCCTGAGTCTCCACTTTCCAGTCCTCAGCAGGGAGAACTCGCCTAACCGCAGGAGCCCTTCCCAAGAGCCTGAGGCATCCAACTCTGCGGCTCCTCCTGCTCCCCCTACGAAGAGACACTGCCGCTCTTTATCAGTGCCAGAGGACCTATCACGCTGGCGGCCTATTTGGAGGCCCAGTGGGTCTAAGGTTTGGACTCCTGTCAAGAGGAGATGTAATAGTGGTGGGGTTGGAGCAGTACTGGGGGTGCAGACTGAAAGTCCATCCCAAGGGGTCTCCAATCTCAGGTTTCAAAATGACCCCAGTGCCTCTTTACGATGCATCCAAGCCAACAGCCCTCCCTTCTTCAGCCTGGCTTTGTGCCGAGAGTCACCAGGTCCCTACACCCTTTCCCCAACCACTATATTTTGGGAAAACACAGAAGGGCCGAGTTGCTTTCCATTGCAGCGCCGTTTTTCCCTGTCACCAGTACTCTTCAAGGATGCAGGACGGTTCCTCCCTTCAGCCAGCAGCTCCCCACCTTCCACGCCAGAGCTGGTCCGGCGACAGCAATGTCTGCCTCGTAGCCAGTCACAGCCCTGTGATCTTGACACCAGGAAATGTGGAATCAAACGAAGGCACGAGGAAGATACACGATGGCATCGTCCTTCTCTGGACTTCTACAAGATGAACCAGGTATAGGCTCTCAGAAGTGCTTTTCTTTATATATTATTGGCATTATAATCCTTTTTTTTTCTGTGATCATTGTTTGAATTTTATAGGAGAATTTTGGTTTAGTAAGTGAAACTTTTAGTTTTGGCCAAAAATAAAGTTTATAGTTCTCTGCTGGTTTTTAATGTAATTACTTGCCGTTTTGATACAGGGCACTGCAGTAAACTGAAATTCCTGTTCTATGGAATATCCACTATACAACTAGTAATGGTGTCCCCAGCCCTATTTTGACTCTCCATAGATGACTATTAGGAAAGCACTCCTCCAATGATCTGGGTGTCAAACGGATAGAAAGGGAGCAGATTTCTGCCCATCAGGGATAAAGGTGCAGCTTTGGGTCCAACTTTTGCCGTGTTATTCTCTTAACAGCAGAAAAAAAAATTCAGTTGAGATGAAATGGAGTTTCACTTTAAAAAGCTTCTTTCTGCATTTCTAACAGATAACTGGTATGTTAGTATCGGTGCTACAGTACCTAACACTTTTCCATCATTAGGTACTAGTGTAATGAGCTGTGTGCCTCAGGGTTCTGTGCTGGGTCCCATATTGTTCAACTTATTTATTAATGACATCGGGGAGGGTGTTAACAGCGATATTTCCGTGTTTGCGGATGACACCAAAATAGGGAGGGTAATAGACACGGACTTAGACACTATAACATTACAGGAGGACCTGGATAAAATAGGGGAGTGGGCATTAATGTGGCAGATGAGGTTTAATGTCGATAAATGCAAAGTAATGCACTTTGGAATTAAAAATAAACAAATGGGTTACACAATTATGGGTATGCCGCTGGGGAAGTCAGAAATGGAGAAGGATTTGGGGGTCATTGTAGACCACAAACTGAAAGGTAGTTTGCAGTGCCAGGCTGCTGTAAACATAGCTAGCAGGGTCTTGTCCTGTATTAAAAAGGGGATGTATTGCAGGGACAAGTCTATAATTTTGCCACTTTATAGATCATTGGTTCAACCTCATCTGGAGTACGCGGTCCAGTTCTGGTCACCAGTACTAAGAAAAGATGTCCTTGAGTTGGAAAAAGTCCTGCGGAGGGCAACCAACCAAATCGGGGTATGGAGGACCAGAGCTACGAGACAAGGCTACTAAATTTAAACATGTTCACATTAGAGGAGAGGAGATTAAGGGGGGATATGATTTCCATGTACAAAATGTTCAATGGTGGTAGCAACATTAGCGATAAACTGTTAATAATTAACTCTGTTACAAAAACTAGAGGCCATCACCTAAAATTGGTGGAAAAAAAAATTCCAGCACAAGGGGCGAAGGGGGTTCTTCACAGTAAGATCAGTTAGGGTCTGGAACTCACTGCCACAGGCGGTGATTTCAGCAAATAATGTGGAATTGTTCAAGAAACTTTTGGACGATTTCTTAAGGGACCGTAATATACAGGGGTACAGGTAATATACAGGGGTACAGGTACTCCTAGAATGAGATCCTAATAGATTGGACTTGATGGACTAATGTCTTTATTCAACCTCAAATACTATGTAACATTGTCTGCTGGCTCCTATTCTATCCAAAAATCTGAACAGGGCATGCTAACAAGTAAATATTTATAGAAACAAAAATTCAAATTTGGTACTACGAGTCTTGCCGTCTGAAGAATCTGACCCTACTGGGAGTTTCAGATTTCTGATGCCCCCACTGCCCTAAGTGGTTTGATCCACTTGTCCTTATGTCATTGTTGTGTCCTGTAGGTTGCTGGTGGGAGGAACCACAGCCAGTCGGATTCTAGAGATTTTTTTTTAGCTGGTGGCTTTTTACTCCAGCCACGTTCAGCAGTACAGGCATTGGAAGAAGTAAGATCTAGATTTCTTCTTTGCAGAGGACTCTAGAAATGTATTTTAACAAGAGCCTTTTCAAAGGTTTGGGTTCACTTGTCACCGTGTAGAGCTGCGTGGCCAGGTAAGTAGTGTTGGGCAGAAGTCTGCCACCTAAGAATGTCTGAATGTTAACAGTGGTTTGTCTTCTTTTCAGAACACTGGTGCTATGTGTTACTTGGACGAAGGCAGCTCATCTCCTTTTCTGGCTTGCCATGGGGAATCTCCTTGCACTTCTGGAAGTCCCGTCACCACTTGCACACAGGCACTTAGTGAAGAAGAGGTCGGTAGAAGGGATCACTCCTGCTCCCAGGCAATGCTCTTCCAGCACGATTTTGCGGACCTGGATTTAAATCTAATTGAAGAGAATTAATACTCTCAGGAAACATCATACTTTAAACGGAGTTATTGTACGGTGGACATATTAGCGAGAGTGTGAGGCTGCCAGGCACCGCCAGGGGACTTGCACCAGGAGCATTCCACAAACATTCTAACCTTCATGACTGATAGATATTGTGTGGGGGTTCAGGGCAAAAGGGAGTGAACAAAAAAAAAAAGCTTTGTCCTTTTTTGTTTTTTTTTGTTTTGTTTTTTTAAAGGAGAAGCCTGGGGCTGGGTCATCTGGACCCCAACTACACTTCTCCATTCCCAGTAATACAGCTGGAATTGGGATCTCCCATACCGAGTTACAAACTTTACATAAAGGGTGCTGTGGGATTGCTTTATTTTTTTACAGATGGCTTTTGGAAGGATGTTCTGCACTGCCCCCAGGGGATCACATGCAAATATAGGTGTGTGATTTAATTCTTCATGCTTAACTGACTGTTGGGATAAAAAAAAAAATGTAAACAAACAAGATGGCAAATCTGGTTGTGCACAAAGGCCGAGGCCTTGTTTTCAAATGTATTCCCCAAGACAAGAGTTCAGAGCTTCGCACCAAGGAAGTCCAATCCCGTGTGTTCAATTCAAAACACTTTTTTTGTTCTACAATTCATCATGAAGAAGGCTGACAACAGAACAAATGTTTCCAATTGTCGTATGTTTGTGGTGTTTTTGTTTTTTATTTTAGTTTTTTATTATTATTTTATTGATATTTGCCTGTGGCAAATGTTTTAGAAGATGTAATGAATTTGTTCTTTAACATTGCTGGCCAGTTAAAAGGAAGCTTCCAGTTCATCCTGAACCCACATTGCCTGCACTGCCATCTTAGTCTTGCATTACATGGCCATGCCATTACCTCAGACAGGTGTTATTTTATTTTTTTCTGCATATACTAACCCTCCTGGGTGTCACTTTCCAATTTCCTGCTCAGGTATGAGTCTTGCCAGAAAGTGGAGTATGAGTGATTTGTATTATTCTTTAGTGTTCATGAGCCCCCAGAACGCTCTCATAACCTTTCAATGAAGGAAGTGGTCAAGGTGTCATGTGTCCGCCTTAAATGTTGTTGGTATGCTACTATATACGTTATAGTGTGCAGTAAGTATTATGGTATATCCTGAGAAAGGACAGGATTCTGCCTGTGTTTGCAGTTACAAAAAAAAGTTATTCTATGCATTCTGGTCATTTCTAGACTACCCTGTTGCAGTTCTAAGTTGTTTTCAAAGTAATTATTTTTCTTTACTTAAGAAAAGGAGATAATTATTTTTAATCTTGATATTATTTACATTAATAGCTCATGTTTAAAGCTGAACTCCAGGGTTTACAAAAAAGAAAAAAAGATACCCTTGCAGTGCCCACACTCAACAAGTCGAGGGGTAGAAGAATAACCTGTAATACTTCTCCACTTCTCAGGCAGCAGCTGCTCTCCTCCTCTTCAATGCTTCAGGTTGTGGGTAGGCCCTTGCCTTCCTTACATTGGATGCGATGTCAGAGTTGGACTGCCGACCAGAGCGCTAGAGAGAAGAGGCTTTGGTGGATCAGTCACACAGCATCGTGAAAGGCTGCCGGTGAAACAAACAGTGTCACATTGCAACCTATTCCTTTACCCCTACACTTAAAGCAGACCTTTACCCCCTATGGCTAAAAATCTCATCATCATGCAGTTCTGCATGCTGATATGAAATCATCTTACATGAGCTGAATTTATTTTACTTATTTCTTTTCTTTTTCTTCTTCCTGGTCCTCTTTGGCACAAATTATGTAATGTGCTCAAGGGTTGCCTCCTGGGAAGGTTGCATTACAGAGCATTGCTGGGAAATCTTTATCTGTAATCTCACGAGGTCTCAGGGAAAGGCATTTTCCTGCCCTGAGATGATGTGCATGGTCACTTGTCCTAGTCACATGTGCCATAGTTTCAGGAAGTATAGGGAGAAATATTAATTTACCCTTGGTAAAAATGGCCCCTGTGAGAAGAATGGAAAGGAAAAGAAAAATAAGGGATGCAAAGAACAAAAAGCTTGCAATTATCTAGAAGTATGTGTTTGTAGATTGTCATTACCAAGCATTTCTAAAGATGTCCTTGTTGTTATTTTAAAGAGAAGGGTGAAGTTCATCTTTAAGGAGCACTTTACAGTGCTGGAGGCCCCACTGCCAGTGTATTTTTTCTGTTAACCCTGTTTCAGCTTTAAAGGCTACGTCCACCTTTGGCACACCTTTTCCATTGAAGTGACCAGGCAGGCAAGGGGTTTCAGTAGGTTAAAACAAACTGATCAGCTTTAAAGAATATTAATGTAGATGCCATTTTCTGTCCCCCAGAAGTCTGGCTAAAATATTCCTAAGTTTGTTTAAATTCCCATCCTAGCTAATTTCCAAAAGCTGCTGCTACGATAGGGTCAGAGAGAACATACTGCACTTATGCAGCTTTTTAAAATAAAAGAAAAAAAAAGACGCTCGCTCCTGTACTGCCAGGACACCAATGTAAACAAAGATGGCTGTATTTCACCCAGGCTTCTGTGGGATGCAAAATTGTGTACAAGAATGGCATCGTCGGTAATGTTTATTTTTTTAAAGCTGGTCAGTTTGTTTTAACCTACAGGAGCCCCTTGTTTGCATGGTCACTTTGCTGCAAAAGGTGCACTTTCCCCTTTAATCTTTCTCCATTAAAGGGCAGTCTTGTGAAATTCTCACGTGGTTTAGAGTTGATTAGAATATTCTCCAAACTTCAGCTTATACGTGTAAGTGACAATCGTTCCTAGTGTTTATGAGCAATTTACTTAAATGGAACCCTTGTTAATAACAATCATATAAACATTTATTTATTTAGTTTTATAATTTGATGACCTCCCAAAGAAATTCTGCTTGTGATAAACATATCATTTTAGGGAAAGGTATTAAGAATGCAGCAAGCAAAGGGGGCTCGGACTTTTCAGCCTCTGTCTAGCTATCACGTTATTGGATTTGTAAGATTTACTTCCCTCCCCAACAAAAGCCCTCACAAAAAAAACTACATTTCAGTAAATAGCAGCGCTGCAATAACCTCGCTGAATATATATCACCTAGTGCATTACATCAAACTCATATCAGTGAAGTCTCATATCTTAATACAAAACTATTAAAACATCCATAATATTTTCAGTGCTCTTTACATATGTTTAATATTTTATGAACTAAAGAAAAGTGTCCAAGAAAAAAAATTGAAGTGTACATCAGTTTATTAAAGTACATAACATCAAAAGGTTTGTTACAAGCACCTATTTCTAGTGCTCAATGCACTATAGCAGCAATTTCTGTTTGCTCCAAACCTTGGACCTAGATCTACTTGATGCATTTCCTCATATATCTTGACTTTTTTTCAAAGGCGACTTCAATAAAGTAGCACTAAACTCGAGTTAAATCTTAAAAATGCATTGCAGTACCCTATCTATTAACAAAACTAAACCTTATTTGTGTATCATTCAGCTGTAGATCCTCAAATCATCTCTGAATTGGTGCTGACATTGTCCTTCCTTCCTTCTGGATGGTGGCTACTTTTGGTCCCCAAACTCGCTGCGTGTGTTGTAAAGTAGCCACAACTCCAAGCTTTCTCCTGTGATGGACTGCAATCTCAAGTTTAGCTTACTAATTTGTATTGAGACTGTAGTCCATCAGGGGAGTGAGCTTGGAGCGGTGACTACTTTACAACACACGCAGCGAGTATGGGGACCAAAAGTAGCCACCATCCAGAAGGAAGGAAGGACAATGTCAGCACCAATTCAGAGATGATTTGAGGATCTACAGCTGAGCGATACACAAATAAGATACATTTTTGTTAATAGGTAAGGCACTTCAATGCATTTTTAAGATTTAACTCCTGAGTTTAGTGTCCCATAATAATATATATGATGAAATATACCAGATGGTGCTAGATCCATGGTTTGGCACAAATAGAGCGATTGCTATAGTGCTGTGAGCACTAAAAATATGCATGTAGCAGCTTTTTAATAAACAGATTTACACTGTAGGATCTGTACCCTTTCCTAGAATACTCTGTGTGGCATGACATTTGTATAAGCTGCTGTCTACTTTTCTGTAATGGGAAGGGGAAAATAGGAAGTGGCATAGCGTGCAGATGAAGGGATGATCGGAGGAGTTCCCGCATAAAGCCAATTTGCCTTTCTGAAACGGGGAGATATTATATTTGGTGAGGTGGGTTTCCAATGTCATACTACACTTGAGCACTTTTAAATGGTGACGAGTGGGGAGCACGTTGTAAAAGAGCATGGATACACAAATTCATTTGAACGTTGTTTCCAAATATGATTCTGGAACAGAAGAAAAGAGCACTAAATATTTTACAGATGTTTTAATAACTTTGTATTCTGATGACACGGATATGAGTTTGATGTAGTGCAATATACAGTATATTTGAGGATGTGGGTGGAAGGCTGAAGATATTTTTAGTGAGGTATATTCAGGGTCGGTGCTAGAATATTTTGCGCCCTAGGCAAGACCAGCTACTTGCACCCCCCATCCCTCCTAAGGCAGACGCAAAAGCAAGACTGCTATTGGCTATTTTAATTTAAACTGGCCAGTAGAAGACTTGCTATTGAAACCTCACCCATTGAGCAGAGTAGTAGACCTGAAAGAGAAAGTCTCTCAATTCTGCTCCTCTGCTCAGTGGGCGGGGGGGTGCTATTGGCTTATAAGCCCCCCCATGTGATAGCAGATGGTGGTGACAGAGTCGTCAGTCACGAAGGGGTTAAAAAAAAAAAAGTACAATACAGAGTTGTTATTTATGCCTCCGTGTTTACTGCCTCCTCTTTTCAGAATTCTTGCACCGGCCTCATTAGAAATGATGGAGAATGTGCTGAAACATGCAGGGGCAGTAAGGGAAGATGGTGGAACAGATTTGTATCTTGTGGATGCCAGTTGTATTTATACCCTAATTCTCTACCACCTTTTTAAAATGTATGTTTAATATTTGTATGTACATAGTTTCTATTGTCTGGCCAACCCAGATTGATAGTAAAAAAAACATCCTTCAAATAGATATTTGAAAAACAAAAATTGTTGTTGGGAGGAAATAAGTGCTAGCACTTGTTAGACCTGATCCTGAAAATCCTGAGCAGGAGCTGACCTGCCTTTGTGTCTGTCCCACTAGCTTCCTGATCTTAAAGGAGAACTATGGGGTTAGGGCTTTTCCCCACAGTTCTCCTTAGGGTAACGGGAGGACACAAACTAGCGTCCTCCCGTCACCCAAAGCTCAGTATACAGGGAGCTACAGCTCGCGGTATACTGAGACGCCGCAGCTGAAGCGGATCCCGACAATTATGTCTGGATCCGCCGAGCTGCGTGAGTGACAGCTGGCTCTGCCTATCTAGAGGTAGAGCCAGCTATGCCCGCCCCCTCCCCCGTCCGTTCCACCAGTCAGCGCTGGAGGATCGGAGCAGGGAGAGGGGAATCCAGTCCCTCCCCTGTCACGGCAGAGAGCCGTGACAGGATGGAGAGGTGAGCGAACGCCGGTATGTGTTCGCTCACCTCCCGATCTACTGAGCCGACCTGTGACCGTCTCATTGTCACAAGTTGGCTAGAACTATGAGGTGAGTGAAAAGCACTCATAGTTCTTTAAATGGCCAGCAAAAATGACAGGTTTCCATCAATAGATAACCTTACAAGTTGAGGTATGAGATCTCGGTATCATTTGGGGTTATGGTGGTGAGTGATTTCTGCCCACACTTAAGGATAACCACAGTTTGGCAGATTTTTAACAGATAATATTGATGAAAGATATGCTTGCCGCCTCTTTGAAACCTTTTTCCTCTATCTGGTTGGCAGTCACCTGGACCACATACATTTTGAATGGATGACTTCATTTTCTATTTTTCAAATACAAATTTGTGAATGTTCCCAGTAGCTCTCCTACATACAAGCTACTTCGGCTTTAGGTACACTGGCCCTCTATGGGTGCCGGTAGGACAACAGCCCATAAACCTTTTACCATGCGGAATTGGACCGCTTCCTCTCCCAGGAGTGTGTGGCATTGAAAGCTGTAACGAATGTGTGTCGATTTTTCTCATTTTTATTTTGTATGTATCCCAAATACTGGCCAT